AACTCATAGCGCCCCTATGAACAAGAAAGTCCTCAACACCTGAGTGACTTTCATCCTCTCTCCAGGTTCATAGGGTTTCCGGAGGCAAGCTATTACGGAAGTGGATGCCACTCCTGCTTCCAAAGAAAAGTCACCTTAAGAAACTGATATTTAAACTAAGGTTTGAAAAGACAATTTATACTTTACTAAGCAAAGACTAGACAAGAGATTGCTCCAACTTTCTCCCACAAATACAACCAAGAAATGATGCTGAGTTGAAGGCCTCATCCACGAGCAAACAAAAGCAAAAAGGAACCGCAGACAGGCAAGACTCTACAAATCACATGTGGCAGGGAAATCACTTCCCCATCGGTCTGGCCCCTCCCCCAGGCACTGGGGCTACCAGCTGTGGAGAGTTGGAGCAGCAGCCCTAGGAAAAGAGCCTGTGTCCCTAAACACCACTGCCCCACCTGTACAAAGAGGATCGTGAGCTTCTGCTCCCAGCAACCACGCTGGCCTCCCTACGTGTGTATTCTGAGCGTGTCTGTCAGCATCCAGACACAGGCAAGCACACTGCCAATTGCTAAACAAGACTGATGCACAGGGATTTGCTCTCATTTACTAACATTGTACCTGCTTTTGTGTACCCTCACAGGTCAGGCCTCTAGAAGCCAGCAGGATAGGACTTCTGGGGAGTTCGTTCTAGTCTGTCTGATCTCTCTTTCAGTCAGTGCTGACAGCCCCTGACGGAGTTGCTGTGTGTGTCTAGAAGCATGCATGTCTATGGGAGACTGCACCTACAGCCAATATACTACAACACATGTTTGGAGCGTGACAGATCCTCTCCAACCCAGACACTGTTACCTGCAAGCCGGCTGTGAGATGCTACAGAAGGTCCCTGCAGTGGAGCCACTCTTCATAGTCAGCATGCTACTTGTCTCCTTGCATACCTCATCCCTCTGGCCAGCAGGACAAACATCTGGGGGGGGGGGGGGGGGGGGGGGGGGGGGGGGGGGGGGGGGGGGGGGGGGGGGGGGGGGGGGGGGGGGGGGGGGGTGCGGAAGAGGATTGGTGACAGTTGGGGATAGCCTTCTTCTACTTCCAATGGGTTATGAGAACAGGAGGACTAGTAAACGAGGCTGCTGTATATCTCAAGTGCAGGCCACCCTTACCGCCAATAACGTATCTGGGAAGCTCTTCAGCAACAAGACAGAACTCTATGTGGATCTGGTCATAGCACAACAGCCCCTTCACTACTTGATAACTCTTGTTTGCCAACCTGTGGCCAATTGCTACAAAAGGTCTTTATGGTGGAGTCTGCCTCCTGGGTACTCCATACTAAAACCAACAGGACAGATCTCCCTGGGGATCAATATGGGTCTGACGGAGCCCCCGTAAAGCTGAGGACTGCTGATAGAACGGATATGTGCTAGGAAGCACACATCTGAAGTGGAGCGTGCACCCACTGCCAGTATGCCACAGGGCCCATCAAAAAAGAAAATGCAACTGAAAGAGAAAATAACTGAAATGAGAAATACAATAGAAGGCCTTACCAACAGATTCAATCATGCAGAAGAAAGAATCAGCAATCAAAGGATTAAATAATTAAAATTATAGATGCTTAAGTGTAGCAATAACAAAGCACAAGGTCAGGGGCTCTTTAATAGAACTACGGGGACAATAACAAGAAGTCTAATATATACATCATGGGAATTCCAGGAGATAGGAGAGAAAAAAGAATATTTTAAGACATAATGATGGAAAAGAAAAAATCCCAATTCTAACAAACAAATGGAACCTAATAAGCAGCATGAAATATAAAGAAATCAAAATAGAAATTGCCTATTTCTTGGAATCAGATGAAAATTAAGCCACAATGAAAATTTATGAAATGCAGTGAAGGCAGTACTCAGAGGGCAATTTATAGCAATAATCCCTACACAAAGAAGATACCTCAGATTAACAGTCTAATCTGACATACCCAGGAACTAGAAAGAAAAGAACAGAATAAATCTATGAGGAGAAAAGAATGAACAGCGAGCATAAATAAATCAAAATCAGAAAAGTAATAGATCAATAAAACCAGAAGTTGGTTATTTGAAAAGAACAATAAAACTGACAAATCTTTAGATAAACTGACAAAGAAAAGGTGAGATATAGGAAAATGAAAAAAATGAAAGAAGGGATATTAACAACTGACCTAATAGGGGTGAAAACGCATTATCACAGAATGTTATGGGAAAGGACTTCATGCTGGGAAAGGTGGACGGTCCAAGAAAGAGAGGCAGAGCTTCAACAAGATGAACTAACTCAATGACTATAAGAAGAGGCTCATGCATATCAGAGATAGTGAAGATGGCTCCGGATTGTTCATATGGTCGCCAAGAGTCACAGCCAACTTGATAGCACCTAATAACAACATTATGAACAATTGTAGGCAAGCACCCAGAAAACATAGACAAAATGGACAAATTCTTAGAAGCACACAAATTACTCAGACTACAGAAAAATAGTTAAGTATGAAAAGATTTCTAACAAGTGAAGAAATCAAATTAGTGATGATAAATCTCCATTGTTGTTAGGTGCTGTTGAGTACGACTCCCAGAGAGAGACTCTATGAAGAGCAAGTCTGAACCCTGTCCTGTCCTTTGCCATCCTCACAATCTCTGACATACTTGAACCCATTGCTGCAGTCACTATGTCGATCCACCTGACTGAGGCTCTTCTATTCTTTTGCCATTCTTCCACATTTCCAAGCATGATGTCCCTCTCCAAGGAACAGCTAAAATAACAGGAGCAAAATATGTAAAACAAACCTTTATCTCCTTTGCCTCCAAGCAGCTCTCAGGCTGCACTTGCTCCAGGACATATTTGTTTGTTCTTTTGGCAGTCTATGGCTATTCAGTACTCTTCTCCAGCACCACAGCTTAAAGGCATCAATTCTTCTTCTGTCAGTCTTATTCTTTGTCCAGCTCTCAGATGCACAGCAAGTGACTGGAAAGACCATGGCCTGAATCAGGCACACCATAGTCCTCAAACTGACAAGACTGCCCCTCAATAATTTAAAGAGGTCTCTGACTGCAGACTTTTCCAGTGCAATACGTATCCTGATCTCCTGACTACTAGAAACAAGAGAATTGATTGTGGATCCAAGTAACATGAAGACATTGACAGTTTCAATCTTTTTTCCATCTATCATGATGTTCCCTAACAGTCCAGTGGTGAGAATTTTTGTTTTCTTGATGTTAAGAAGCAACTGATATTGAAGGCTATATTCTTTGATCTTCTGCAGCAAGCACTTCAAGTTCTTCTCACTTTCAGCGAACAAGGTTGTGTAATCTGCATAATTCAGGTTACTGATTAATCTTCCTCTGATTCCGATGCCATATTCTTCATAGAGTTCAGTTTCTCAAATAATTTGCTCAGCATAGAGATGGAATAGGTATGGAGAAAGGAAGGATAACAATCAAAAAAGTTCAAGGCCACGTGACTTTATTGGTCAATTCTAGCAAACTTAAAGGAGGATTGACACCAATCATGTTTAATCCTTCCAAAGATACAGATGAAGTAAGTATAAACCTGACAGCCAACCAGACAAAAACATCACAAGGATAGGAAATTAGAGGCCAGTATCTCTTATGATTACAGGTGCAAAAATCTTATACCAGGAATGCAGGGATGATTTGACACTAGAAATCAAAGTATATACCACACTGACAGACAAACAAACTACTTGATCATTTCTATGGATGGGGGGGGGGGGGAGGGAAAGCATTTTATATCATCCAAAACATTTTCTTGATGAAAACACTAAATTAGATTGTACTAGAAAAGAAAGAAATTTCCAGAATATTATTTAGGGTATATATGAAAAGAGACAATCAACATAATACTTAATAGAACAAGATGAGAGCTTTCTCCTTAAATTTAGGAATAAGATAAGGCTGTCTGCTCTCACCACTTCTACTCAATATTGTGTTAGAAGTTCTAGCCATAGTCCTAATATTAGAAGGATGATAAGACAAGAAAAGTAAATAAAAGGTACCCAGATTAGACAAAAAAGTAAAATTGTCTATATTCAGGCACAAGATGATCCTAGATACAGAAAATCCCAGAGAGAACTCTATGAGAGAACACAAGACAGCTAACAGAGGAAATTTAGCAAAGCAGTACAGGGTAGAAAGTCAACAAACAAAAATCAATTGGCTTCCTATACACTAACAATGAGAAATATAAAAGAGAAACCAGGGAAACAGTCCATTTACAATAGCATCTAAAAGAATAAAGAACCTAGGAATAAATCTAGGCATGGATATGAATACAAAGACAAGACTCCTCAACAATGTACGTTATGCAAATGACACAACCTTGCTTGCAGGAAGAAAACTTACAGCACTTACTGTAAGAAATTAAAGTGTACAATATAGGTTACATCTCAACATCAAGAAAACAATAAAAATCCTCAACACTGGATCAATAGATGGGTTATTAGGATGGATGGAGAATAGATTGAGGTTGTCAATAATTTCATTTTATTTGGATCCACAATCAATATAGCAGCTGTCAAGAAATCAAAGATATGCTACATTGGAGAAATTTGCTATCAAAGGCCTCTCCAAAATTCTAAAGAGCAAGGGTGTTAGTTTAAAGAATAAAGTATGCCTGATTTAAAAAAAATTATAAAACATTACCCAAAAGAAAAAAAAATCAAAGAAGACTTAAATCAATTGGAATATGTTCATGGATTGGAACACTTGTCACGATGTCAGTAATACCCTAAAAGATCTATAGCTCCAATACAAGTCCAATGAAAGCCT